GGAATTCTCTCTGGGGAAGTGCAGAGGGAGTCAGTGGAAAGCAAACTGCCGTGTGTGTGTGTGTGTGTGTGTGTGTTCTTTTTGAGCCCTGAACTTGTTACACTAACCCCAATCCTGTTCCCTACACCCTAGGCTCTGGGAGACCCTGCCCCTAATCCCAACAGATGCCCTCCGCAGCATAGGTCAGCCCCTCCTTCTGGCCCACCTGTTCCTGGTCGCAGCTCTAGAGTGCAGTAGCCCTCAATCCACTGATAGCAGGGGAAGTGGGTAAGGGTACCATTGGGGTCAGTGACACAGATGTGACTGCAGTACCAGGAGTCCTTGGGGAAGAAAGCATAGCGCTCCTTGTGCAGACGCAACAGCAAGAGCTCACCCAGCTCTGCTGAGCAGCGCACCTTGTACTTCTGCACCTGAGGGGATCAAGAGAGGAAGCGGTGAGAGACCAGGAACTGCCAGAGCTGTTCTCGCATCTTGCAAGGTGTGTCTGTACTTATACCTATCCCAGCATAGAAACCTGAGCTGCCGCTAACCCATGTGATGCCTTTGTATGAATCAGAAAAAAAGCACCCCTTCACCAGGCAAAAGCAACCACAGCTACCACGGGCATAGTGGGTTCTGGATTTCACCAGTCCCCTTGGCAGATGACTTCTCCCCAACGCCCACCAGCAAACAATCCTGGGGCCTGGCAGAGACAGGCGGACCCCTCCAGAGAAGAAGAAACCCAGACTCTGAGAGTTCAAGCAATTTGTCCACCTTCAGTTATGACAGGAAGAACTAGGAAGCCAGCAGAATTCTTCCGATCCCTCTGCCCAAGGGCTCCTTCAGCCCTGTCTGGGTAGGGTTTATCAGACCCAGGAAAGACAGGAACCAGACAGGAGGAGTGGCAAAGGGGACAGGGTCAGAACCCTGAGTTCCGCAGGAGCCCTGAGGGAAGACAGTCCTCTCTTTCAGGGTCCCCTGCCTGCCAGCCCTGCCCGCCCTCTCTCCTCTGTACTCACCGATCCAGGGGCAAAGTCCCTGCCCATGCGATCCAGCAGCTGCTTGGGGCTCTCACCACACATGCCCACCAGAGTGACGGAGATGTTGTCCAGTGTGCCTGCTCCCAGGTAGGCACCAGTGGTCACACGCACGCGGTACACGGCCATGACTGGAGGGAAGGAGGGATGCCTCCGGAGAAGGTTAGACCCAGCGCGGGCCGGGAGGTGAGCGGCAGGCCGGGTGAGCAGTCGTACTGTTGAGGTGCTGAGCCGCTGGATGGGAGGTAGGGGGGGGGCCGGGTCGGCCTCTGAGGAAAGGCCCAACTCCCTCTGGGATGTTTTCTCTGTCCTGAAGCTCCTGGCCTCTGCCTTTGCTCACTGCCCGCTCCCTCTCCCCGCCCACACTTGCGTCCTAATAGTTGTTTTCTTGCCTCTGGCACAGCCGGTCCCTCTGGCTGGCAGGACAGGGCTCACCCAGATAAATATCAGGAACCCGAGCTTCATTGGGAAGGGAGGGACCAGATGCTGAGAAAGAGACGGGGAGTAGCTGACGCCTGTATGATTGGGACATTGCTCTCCTCCTGGTCAGGGGCCCTACAGATGCTCTGAGGTCCTTGTCTATCTGGCCACTCCCAAATTCCCCCCACCCCACCAAGACCCTTTCCTCCTCTCTTTCAGTCACAACGGCACAGAGCATCCACATTCCTACTTGTGAATCATTTATGTGAATCACTATACACAGGTGAGACACACTCAGCCATAAGTCATACATGACTACAGCCACACGCAGGTTAGTCTCACACGCATTCCTGCACACTGCGTGGGGGTCAGAAATAACTCTCCTGTCACCCAACACACTGCCCCACCGTCCCACGCCCGGCTTTCTGTGTCCCCTCTCTTTGGCACGCCAGATCTCAATCTCTCCCTTGGAATGGAGCCCGTCAGGGAACCGAAGTGGATTCCCGGCGCACAGCAGGTGAAGGCCCCATGCGGCATGCTTTCTGCACCGGGCCCGCCCTCGACCTTCCGGCTGGTGGGCGGGAGCGGAGATGCCGGGGTGCCTAAGATTTAGGTCATCCACACTGGGGAAAAACCTCCTCGCCAGGAAAGCCCGCAGCCCGCAGCGGCCCCGCGCGGCCAGTCCCAGCACCGCACCGTCTCGGCCTCGGCGGCGCTCCAGTCCTAGCTAACCAAACTCGGCGGAAACTACCCGAGAGAAGCTAAGAAGCGTGATCAGCACTCGCCCGGCTGCTCCAGCTTCCCTAGGGTCTGTGCAGGAATCCTCTGAACACTTGCATACAATTCCCCGTCGGCATTGCAAACGTGAAGTTTAGCAAGTAAAGTACTCTTAGGGATAACAGAGTAGCTGGCAGGCAGGAGCCCGGATAGCTCAGTCGGTAGAGCATCAGACTTTTAATCTGAGGGTCCAGGGTTCAAGTCCCTGTTCGGGCGTGTACTTTTTTTTTTTTTTTTTTTAACTTATATTCATATTTGAATACAATTAATATTTGCATTTCTTCAAACAAAACAAAAGTAACAAAAATTACTTAGTTTTAAAAGGAAATCGTATTAAGTACGTCAGGGTTTTAGTTTTCAGAAGATAGAACGAAAACGGGAAGGAAAGTGGAGATGCTTTAGAGCAGCACATAAGCGAGTCATAAATGCTAATTTAGATTTTCTAGTAGCCACATTAAAAATGGTAAAAAGTTTCATCAAAGTGTATATACATAAAATGTGTGCAGTTTTTTTGTATATCAATTATACCTCAATAAAGCAAATAATGGAATAATAATGGAAGAAGAGGGGGAGGAGGAGGGGGAAAGGGAAGAGGAGGGGAAGAGGAAAGAGGAGGGGGAGGAGGAGGGGAGGGGAAGGGGAGGGGGAAAGGGAAGAGGGAAGGGGAGGAGGAGGAGAAACTGCGGGGGGTGGGTAGCTGGAGTACATGGGAGCTCTCTGTACTTTCTGTTCAACTTTTCTGTAAACCTAGAACTGTTCTGAGAAATAAAATCTTTTATTGTTTTTAAAAAGTAAAAAGCAACAGTCGAAAGTAATTGTAATAACTTATTTCACTTAACCCAATATATCCAAAATCTTAGCATTTTTAAGATGTAATCAATATTTTAATGTTAATGAAATTATAACAATTTTTTTGTACTAAGTACAGTTTCTATTTTATACCTACAGTACATCTCAATTCGTATTTCAGATGCTCGATAGCAGCGTCTTTCCTATTCGGCAACTATTTTTATGTTATTTTGTCTTCAATGAGCAGCTGAATACAAGGGGACTAAAAACAGAGAGTTCACTAATATATAAATATTCAGAGGGTCGCGCTAACGAGGCGGTTCCATGGTGTAATGGTTAGCACTCTGGACTCTGAATCCAGCGATCCGAGTTCAAATCTCGGTGGAACCTTGCGCTTAGTTTTCTATCGTTTTCACTGTTATTTTATATAAGAGAATCTAAGAGGACCTGAAAAGGAAAACTACACTATAATGTGAGGTTTCGGACTAGGTAATTGGAACCTCTAGCACACCGAGAGGAAAACACAATCAGTTAAATACGTACATGAACAAATGTTTCGCTGATTTTGAGAGACAAGATTGTTATTTGAGAACATGTTAAAGGGGAAGTCGTTTACAAAGAAATTAAGGTTATTTTATCAGTCCTCATCATGGTCTTGGTTTGGGGCAGGAATGCAGACTTAGATAGGGTATGTCTGGAATGCCAGAAAGGGACGACAGTGGTGAGACCTCTCTACCAGGAGTCCTCACAAAATTGGGAAAGATCCCATAAGGGCCTATATATAAATTTACAAGGAGAATGAACCTCGAGAAAAACTCTGGGTTGGCAGCGGTGGGATTCGAACCCACGCCTCCGAAGAGACTGGAGCCTAAATCCAGCGCCTTAGACCGCTCGGCCACGCTACCTGCGTGAAGTAGGAGGGACTCTGTAGTCCTCCTAAGAGACTGTAGAGACGAAGCTAGAAACTGTTGTATGAAATTGGCTGTCTTCTTTGAAAACCATCTAGATTCAGAACTGCGAGGTAGCAGGCGGTAAAGCAGATAGACCAAAGGAAACAGACAAACAGAAATTTACAACGAAACAAGTTTATTTTGATGGGAGGGGCCACATCTGGGAGTGGGGTGCGCCTGGGCTGGAAGCGTCCCCTAAGCAGGCAGCCGGACCTCTGTGCTCGCCCCCTCGCTCATATTCAGTTGCTCTCTCTCTCTGTTTCTTCCACCCATGTGCTCCCGTACTCCCACCTGGCTCACCTGCTTTGCGCCTGCTACCTCTCCCAGGCAGGCCTCTCAGATCCAAACCGCGCGCTCTTGGCACACCCTCCCCCCTTCCCAAGTTAGTTCTGTATGCCGTCAGATGCCGCTGCTCCCCAGCAGGCTCTGTGGCGCAATGGATAGCGCATTGGACTTCTAGTGACGAAAGAGCGATTCAAAGGTTGTGGGTTCGAATCCCACCAGAGTCGGTTTTATTCCCCCCCTCTTTTTCCGGTTTTTCTCTAAAGCTCCCATCCCTTCTCCCCCTGCCCTAACTCTGTTTTCCACCTGTTTTCAGTTCCAACCTCAGTCTTCCCTCTGCTCTCTTCTTTACTTACCTGTCTGCCCCGGGGCTTGGGCCATGGAGAGCAGGACTGGGGGACGGGAGACAGAAGGGGAGGGAAAGTAGGCGTGGACGCCGAGATAAAGGCAGGCCCCTGGCTCTGGGACACACGGGGATTTAATAACCACTTTATTCCATGCACTAGGGACTCGAGAAGGGGCTGGGGCTGGGCTGGGGGCAGAGAGGGTACAGTCCTAGACGCAAAGGGGCAGGGGAAAGGGACAGGAACCAGGGAAATATATATTTATATAGATACTCTAATATAAACCACATCTCACCCGCGCGCTGCGCCCGCACGCCCCGCCGCCCTCCCCAACACCTCCTCGCCCCGACGCCCGGGTCCCTCTGCTGCCCTTAGGCTGGAGTCTCTACCCTACCCCCAGCCCCGCCCCCACCCCCCAAAGCTTAGGGCCAAGGTCTCCAGAAAGCGGGCGGCGGGGGCGGCGGGGCCTTGGGCGCCCCGTCTTGTCTGTGAGGCGGCGGAGGCGGCGGCAGTAGTCCGGTGAGGGGCGCCGGATCGCCGGAATCCCCGGCGCGGGGGGAGCAAGGGGACGGGGACCAGGCACAGCCAGGGCTAGGGGGACCCTGGTGTACTGGGGGGCGCTGGTGCAGCGCGGGGCCAGGCGCCGGGGCGGCGGGGTCCAGCGGTGGGCGCGACGCTTGGGGCCTCGGATCTACTGGTTCTGGCCGGGGCGGCTTGGGGCGCAGGTAGACGTGCAGAGCGGAGAAGAGCTGGGCACGGGCTGCCGGGCTGGCATCGTGCGCGAAAGCCGCCAGGCGAAGCAGGCACTCTCGGAAACCGGACAAGTAGCAGCTGGCGAGCGCCTCGGCGTCCTGGGCTGGGGACCGGGGGACCCCTGGAGCCGCGGCGGTGGGTGCGGCCGACGGGAGGACGGGCGGTCAGGGCAGGGGCCCAGCAAGGGTAAGGGAAGGGGCGGGGCGCAGAGGTACCAAGGCCGGACAGGCGCATAGAGACAAGAAATCAGATGGACGGACAGAGGGAGAAAATGAGGGAGACACAGAGACAGACACGCGCGGGTGTTATTAACCTCGCCTCGGAGCAGAGCCTGCCACTCCCCAAGCCCACCATCCACGGCAGAGTCCGCCCCATTTACCCCGGCCCAGGCCTCGGTGAATCCCCCCTCCCTCCCTCCGCTGCCCCACCCCCGCGCTGTACCGGGGGACTCCACCCGGCTTCGCTCCCTCAAGTAGCCCACGGCGAACTCCAGTATCTCTGCTTTCTCCAGCTTCGGGTTCCGGAGGTTCTACAGACCGGAGGGGAGGGCGCAAAGACAGAGGGGTGGGGAGAGAGGGGGGGAAAGTGGCAGGGGGAAGAAAGGAGGGAGGGATGCAGGAGCTGAGGGGTGCCCCCGGATCGCGTTTGCGCGCTGACCACAGAGCGCGCTACCGAATTCGGAGTGGAGATGACCAAGAATGGTCCTCGCCCACCCAGAGACGAAACTGTCTAACCCGAGGGCATGAAACCAACCCGGCATTGTGAGGAGGGCATTCGAAGTAGCAAACCCAGTGAGTGAAATTAACCGCCCTGCTGGCTGTTCGGGGGTGGAGGGGAGGAAGAGGAAGAATTTACAGACCCAGAAGTTGAAACGGACCCACCCTAGGAGTGAAATTTACAGAGCCGGGTGTGAAACTTACAGACCCGAGGGGTGGCCACGTAGATCGAGTTCGGAGAGCAAGAGGGGGTCTGGGGTGGGATTCCAAGGGCGGGACTCAGGTCAGGATGTCTTGGGGCCAGGGTCGCCAATGCAGCCAGCATTTGTCCCCACCCAAGTGGGAAGCCCTGGGACGCGAGGACGGGATGCTTGGGGGTCCGGAAGGACTGACCTGGTCCCGGGTCCGCTCCAGCAGCAGCAGCCTCAGTTCTTCCAGGCTGCGGTTGATGCGATCTCGGCGCCGCTTCTCCACAAGCGGCTTCAGCATCTGCGACCAGCAGGAAAGGGAGAGCGGGCCGACCGGACCAAGACTCAGCGCGGCCGCGCGGGCGTCGGGATCCCGCCGCTGGGATAGTCCCGCCTCCACCCCTTCCCCAAGACTCCTGAGAGCCTAGGGCCCGACCCATTGGATCCCTCTCCGCTCCCCCTCCCAACGCCCCTAGGGTCAATTTCTGAAGCTCGCCTCCTCTCTCTCCCGGGTCTTCTGCATTCTCCTCTCTCAGTCTTGTCCTCCCTCCTCCCCTCTCTGTGTCTCTCCTCTTTTCTCTCTACTTCTCCGCATCGTGCAGTCTCTCTCTGTCTCAGTGGAGAACTTTGGGGGCCCTCTTTGCGCCCAGACACGTGGGCCACAAGGTGCCGGACTCAGAATTGGCGGCCCTGAGTGTAGAAAGGGAGATACCCAGCGCGACCGCGCCTCCTCTTCTCCCTCTAACCCATCTAAGCGGTCACCGTTCTTATCTGGTTCTAAAATCTTCCACCCGATCTCCGACCTCTGGAACCAGTGCCCACTGGATCAGCCCGCGTGGAGCAGGTGCGTATCTCCGCTTTTTGTTTCCACCCGCCTCCCTGAGCTCAGTGATCCTACTGGTTATTTCACTCAAACACCAGTTCCCTCCCATGTCCCCAAGGCCGCAAGCTGCCAACTCCCACTGCCCAAACCCCAGACTTCTGCTTCTGCCGCCCACGCAGGTCCTGCTCTGACCTGTCCCCTTCTTCATACTTTGCAGCTTCCTCCCCAGCTCCTGGCTCCTTGGGTCTCCCTTCCAGACCAGCGTCTCCAGCCTCTTCCCTGACCTAGTCTCAGAGACACGGTCCCCTGACCGGACCAGGAATCTCTGCTCCCTCTTCTCCCGCCTCTCACCTTGGGGCCGTCCCTATTCTCGGCTCGATCCCGGGTGACCATCGCTCCTCCGGACCCTGGTGTGGACCGAGTCGCTGCTGGCGTTGCGCCTTATATCCCTCAGGCTCCCAGGTGGGGGGCAGGGAAGACCTGGACCCGCCCTCTTAGGCACCTGGATCCCTCACGGTGTGGCCCCGGGCACGAGGCTCCCGGAAAGGGGAGGAGCGCAAGGGGGAGGGGAAGGAGTGGAACTGGCCTGGGAGTGTGGGAAATGAGGGGTCAATGCAGCACCAGCTGGTTTAAGGACCATAAGGCTGTATAATAAGGCGGGTCGCAGCTGAAGGGAGGAGGTTATTAGGGGGAGAGAGAGTTCAGGTGATTTGGGGACAGGACTTGCCCCAGAATCGCAGCTTTTTGGGGAGGTCACTGTACCCCCCACTGACCATAAAAATGAAATTAGCGCCCCTCAGCCCCTAGGCTGGATCTTACAAATTTTTCCCCAAAATTCACCTCCTACTTAAGATAGGGAGAGACCTGAGTGTGAGAGATGGATCCGTCTGTTTCAACTGAGGCTCTGTCTGGAGGTGGAAGAGAAGATCTATTCGATCTAAGGCCAGTCATATTCAATTCCCGCAACAGGAAGGGACTTCGTCCACACCAGAGTCCGAAGGAGCGATGGTCACCCGCGTTCGTGCGCACTGGGCAATGGTCTAGGCCTAGACCGTTTATACTGAAATATGCACTAGAGGTCCAACTCATCCCTGCAGGATCTAGTGGAAAAAACAAAACAAAAAACACACAAAACGTGTTATGCAGTAGTTATAATGGAATCAGTGTAAAGTAGGTGATCAGGAAAAGGGTCATCCTGAGGAATGTCTGGACTGGGGCACGGAGGGGGGCTCAAAGAAGAGGAAGCAAAGCACGTGTACTAGGTAGAGATCTTTCCATTTACAAGTATTTGGTTCAAAACTATAGGAGATTCAGGCGTATGGCTGCCAGAACACCTGACACAAGTGTGCTCGCTTTGCTTGCTCCCAGGAACACCCTCGTGACTATCGGGAAGCAGGGGGCAGGCAGTTTTCTTAGAAGGACAAGAAAGGGATGCAAAAAAAGGGATCTACACCCTCCTCAAACCAAGACCATAACCCTCTGCAGAATGATACGTAAACACTTGGAGACTTCAGGACAAAATGCCAGAGAAGATAAGATCAGATAACGGGACAGCAAGAGTACTAGGGACAAGGAGACATAAAGACAAGGTTGCAGACCAAGTCGGAAGATTGCGGAGACAGAAACGGATGGAATCCGCCTAGCCCTCCCAGTACCCCTCCACAATTTGATGTTGCTCACGGAGCCTGCCTCGCCAAAGCCCGAGCTCGAAGGGACTCAGACCTTGGGGAGGGCGCTTCCATTTGGGTGCAGGACTCCCAACAATCCACCTCCCCCTACCTGAGCCAAATGGGATCGCAGATGTGTGGCCCCAGCAGCCCCCGCCACCCCCCTCCTTGGGAACCTGGGCTCAGGCTGAGTTTTTCTCACCTGCACGCGAGGTTTGGGGGCCCCGGGCTGTTCGCACCCGGGTGTGGGGCCGCCCCTGGCCATATGGGGCGACTTTATGGCGGGGTGGCCGGATCCGGGCAAGAGGAAGGATGGCCGAGTTGCTCCACCCACGTGAACTATTCAGAAACGCTCTTTCGCTGGGTTCTCAGTTGACACAATTCGTCAGGTCACAGACGACCGCTTCCTCAATCTCTTATAAAATCGGGTAAAGCACCACCTAGCTACAGCGGTGCATTGGTGGTTCAGTGGTAGAATTCTCGCCTGCCACGCGGGAGGCCCGGGTTCGATTCCCGGCCAATGCAATCTGACTGTTTTTCTTTTTCTCCAAAACGAAAAGAAGTCTGATGATGCGTCTGAGACCAAAAGGAAAAGAAGTCTGATGATGTGTCTGAGAAGCTTCTTTCTGTAATATTTCCACCAGGTATAAATATTTAACGTTTTTACTCTATCGCAGGGTTTGAGGCTCTGGATAGAGATCTTGATTCCATACTTCCTCACATGCCCATCCTCCTAACCAGGGGGTCCTGCTGCCTTTCCCCACCACTCCCTCCGCCCCCAGCCCCCGCACCTTCGCAGGCGTGACCCTGAGAAAGGGCACTGCGCTCGGATCCCTGCCCCAGGGGTCCTCTGGGCCCTCCGCAGGGGAGGGGTGAGGTCTTCCCGCCCCACGAGTTCTAATACTCTTGCTCTTCCTTCCATTTCTTCGCCTCGCCCTCTCTGTCTTACCTCCTGTTCTCTTAGAAGCGCCCTTTTTTTTTCCAAGTCCTGGAGTCTCGACCTTTTGTGTCTTTCAGTCTTTCTGTTCTGCGTACCTCTTGGCGTCTCTGTCTTTCCCCATTTCACGTTCTTTCCAGGTCTCTTAGCAACTTCTGCGTTCACCTCTCTGGGTCTTTAGTTGTCTCTGCATTTTTCACTCCGTGTCTCTCTGACCTCTCGGTCTCTCTCTGCGTCTGCGTCTCGGTCTCTGGGTATCTCCGGGTCTCTGGGATCTCTCGTCTTCTCTCCGGGTCTCTGGGATCTCTCGTCTTCTCTCCGGGTCTCTGTCGCCTGCCGGCACTCTGCGCTCTCACGCTCCTGCCATCCCCTGGGAAGCTCGCTCACACCTCCGAGTTCCTGTCACCTCCCCTCCCGCCCCTTCCCGGCGGCTTTGATCCCGCACGCGTCGGGCGGGCGGCGGGGCGCACTCGCCAGCTGCCGCGGCCACTCGTAAGCTGGGGCGGAGGCCGCCGGGCTCCCCCGCTAGCGGCGCTGGTTTTCTGCGGTCTTCCGGCGGGTTCGGCTTTCCTCTGCGCCCCTCCTCCTGGCTCTGTCTTTGGCTGCTGCCTGGGCTTGTGCTGGCCCAAGTTCGCTGAGTCCGGGTTTCGGCCTTGTTTATCTCGATCACTCTCTCTGGAACTTGCCCTGGGTCTGTGTGTCTGCCTCTGGTTTCTGTCTCCTGTCTCTTTCGGCCTGTCTGTTTCACCTGGGCCTGGGTCTGGATCTTTCTTGTCTCTGGATTGTGTCAGTGACTGGGAATGCTCTCTTCTCAATTCGGGGGGGGGGGGGACAGTGGCCCCCAGAAGGAACTTGTACAACAATCTGGACCTCTGTATGTCTGTGTGCACAGCCGCTGTTTTACTTAGCCAATATGTATGGAGCGCCTCCTGCATGCTTAGGCTTTGAGGGTACACTGGGTCTGGGCTCTCCTGAAGCTTACATTATAATGGGCAGGGGAGATAGAAAATAACTAAGAAAGCAGAAAATAAGATAACTTCCGATGGTATAAAGCTAGAGGCGGGACGAGGAACACCCGGATATGGTAATGACTTGAGAGTGAAGTTAGTGCTACTTTTACTCTGGGTGTTCAGAGGCAATCTCTATAAGAGGTGATATTTGAGCCCAGTTCGGCCAGCTGTGAGACCAGACAAAAGAAACCGAGTGCAAAGGTTCTGAGGCAGGAACAGGGTTTGCTGGTGGGAGCTGGAGAAAGACGGCCATTGTTTTTAGGAGGGAGAATTTGGAGGTGCAGAAACAAAAAATGGAAGGCATGGCCCATCATACAGGGCCTTAGAGGCTGCGGAAGGAGTTGGGATTTTCCTTTAAGTGCAATGGGAAAACAGTGGAGGGTTTTAATAGAAAAGTTACATGCACTGACCTATGTATTAAAAGACCAATTTTGCCCTTGCCGTTTTGCCCAGCGTTTAGAGAGTCAGCCCACGGACCAATGAGTCGCGGGTTCGATTCTGGTCAAGGGCACCTTTGATTGCTCTTCTTCTGGACCTGCAGTAGACAACCCACACATTGATGTTTCTCTCTCCCTCCCTCTGAGGTTTAAAAAAAAAGATCACTTTGGCTTCTGTGTGGAGGATGGATACATCTGGGTTGCCAGAGGCACTCCTAGGTTTTTGGATCAAGTAACCAGGATTTTATTGAGGTGGGAAGGGGGACAAGACACAGAAAAAGTTTGGAGAAAGAAAATAAGCATTTTACTTTAGTTATTTGAGATCCCCTTAGGCATCCAAGTGGAGGTTACAGGTAGGCCAGGGATATACAAGTTTGGGGGTCAGAGCTGGAGAATAAATACAGGGGAATCTTTGGAAAGGATGGTTTCCATACTGTGAGACCCGCATATCTAGGGAGAAAATGTGGAGAGAGAAGAGAGGAGGCTTAGCAAGGAGCCCTGAGACATCCTAACACTTGAGGTCAAGTTGAGGAGGGAGAATTGTCAAAGGTGATCGCAGAGAAAGCAGAAAAGCCAGGGGAGTGGGGTGTTCATGAAACCAAGAAAAGAGAGTATATGAAGAAGAAGGGAGCAGTCACCTCTAGTTAAGCTATTGGGATGTCAAACAAAAAGAAAAGAGAGAAGTAACCATTCAGTTTAGCATTTTGGAAGTCACAGATGACCTGGGCAGATTGTGACTGTGCAGTCCCACTGAATGGGTTGAGGTAAGAATGGGAGGTGAAGGTGTGCACACAGCGGGTATGGACAACTCCATCAAGTTCTGCTGTGAATGGCGAGCAGGAAAAAAGTGTGGCAGGTAGGAGCACAAGAGGTGAGAGTTGCTAGAAAGGGCTTCAGGATGACGGGAATAACCAAGACCTGGGGGTTGGGGGGGGGGAGGCGGAGGCGAGGTAAGTAAACAACAATGCTAGGTAGAGAAGCCTCAGGTAGTAGGGAGATGGGAGAGACAGAGGGCTTGGGTCAGTTCTAGTGGGGGAAGGATGAGGCAAGTTATCTCTTGTTGCTCTTATTCTCACAGAAGAATGAATCAAGCTCATTTCTGGAGGAGAGAAAGCTAAAGGTCATTTGAGGAGAAAGAAGGTGTGAAATGTTCGTTTTGGAGAGTAGAAAAACAAACCTAAGCTATGAGGATAGGATTTCTAGGCAGGTGAGAGTCCATCTGAGATGCAGAATCAAACATTCAAGTTTCAGAGGCCAATTCAGCATGAAGGTAAAGAAGTTTATGCTTCAGGCTCCCTCACATGGGCTTCTGGTAGGGCCCCAGCAACATCTTCACACGGCC